GCCGAAACCAAGAGTGGGACGCTTAACCAACTGAGCCACCCAGGAGTCCCAGTGTCACTTTTAAATTATATCTAGAATCAGATCCCCTGCTAGTACCTGATCCAAACAACCACCCTCTCTTGCTAAGATTATTGCTGTAGTATCAGAACTGGCCTCCTTCAGTCTGTTTGCAACCTGTTCAAAGGGAGATTACATCACATCATATCACATCACTGCTTCCCTCAGAGTCTGCTAATGGCTTTCCCATCTTATTCAGAGTAGACCCCAAAGACCTTATGAAGACTTCAAGTACATTATCTGATTTGGCTGCCATTACTTCTCTAATTTTATCTTTTTCTGTTGTCTCCTGTCTTGTTGTGCTCTAGCTACACTGGCCTTCTGGCTGTTCCTGAAACACACCAGACAAGCTTCTGGTTCAGGGTCTTTGCACTGAACTGTTTCCTCTGCTGAGACTGCTCTTCCCTCTGGGATCTACCTGGCTCACTCGCTTGTTCCCTTCAGCTCGTGACTCATGTCTCCCATCCAGTGAGGACTCATTGGCCACTCCGTTAATGCTGCAGACCACCCCTCCAACACTTCCTGTCCTCCTTTTCTACTTTATTTTCTGCTTCACACTTAACATTATCTAACATAAGGTTCATTTTAGTGATTTATCTTGTTTATCACCCATCTTCAGTACTAGAATGTAAGCTCCCTGGGGTGCCTGAGTGGCTCAGTTGGTTAAGTGTCCAACTTGATTTCAGCTCAGGTCACGATCTCACGGTTTGTGAGATTGAGCCCCATGTCAGGCTCTATGCTGACAGGTTGGAGCCTGCTTGGGATTCTCTCTCTCTCCCTCCCCTCTTCAAAATAAAGACATTAAAATAAATAACTAAATAAAATGTGAAGATACCAAACACCTATAATATTTCATTAAAAATTAGTATTAGTATGGAACATAAAACATATATCAAACTCTTTGTACTCAATTATACCTGTGTTTTAATTCAGAGAAGAGAGTGCTTTGACTTAGGGTTATATATGACATGTGGTAGTCCTAACAGTGAAATAGGTACGGAAAACAATACATTCATTCCTTTCATCAAAAAAGAGTAAGCATATTAAGCAGTCCTCAAAGTTATTGAGGAGATCTTAGAAGAATTACTTATCTATTGTGTGTGCCTTGGGCCTTACTTCCTGTTTTAGCCATTTTTACTTTCTGTGAATTCTAGGAACCCTAGTTGTGATACTTTTAGCATTTACATTCAGAATGTAAAATCATATTTTTAAAAATGGAAGACATTTTTGCTATTTGGAGTTTAGTGAATTCACTTTAAAGCAAGGCTGGTCTTGCGGATGGGACTATCCTCATAGAAGTAGAATGAGGCAGAGGTTAAGTAGGTCTGCTTTTTGGAAGGCTTAAGGTGGCATCATAAGTGATTTACACATAATAACTCATTGAATCCTCATAACGAAATTATGAGGTAATTTTATAAATGAGGAAACAGAAGCACAAGAGATTGGGTGACTTGGCCAAGGCAGTAAACAATAGAATCACTGGTTTTAATGTCTCTGTATTGAAAGTGGGTAATCGGTATATGTTTCTTATTCTCTCAAAAAAATTAATGGAGCAAATATTTAAAACTTTGATTTGATTTTCATTATTGAGCAGTTTATTGTATTCATTAAAACAATTTTTTTAACGTTTATTTTTGAGAGAGTCAGAGAGAGCGAGCGAGCATGAGTTGGGGAGGGGCAGAGAGAGAGGGAGACACAGAATCAGAAGAAGGCTGAAGGCCCTGAGCTGTCAGCACAGCTACTTATGGAGTTGTTTTTTTTAAAGATTTTATTTATTTATTTATTTATTTATTTATTTATTTACTTATTTATTTTTAATGTTTATTTATTTTGTAAAGAGAGACAGAGTGTGAGTGGGGGAGGAACAGAGAGAGAGGGAGATACAGAATCTGAAGCAGGCTCCAGGCTCCAAGCTATCAGCACAGAGCCCGACGCGGGGCTCGAACTCATGAACTGCGAGATCATGACCTGAGCTGAAGTTGGATGCTTACCGACTGAACCACCCAGGCACCCCTTAAGATTTTATTTTTAAGCAATCTCTATACCCAGAGAGATGCTCTACTGGGTGCTCTACTGACTGAGCCAGCTAGACGTCCCACTTACGTAGGTTTTTATTTGTTGGGTTTTTAAAAAAGTTTTATTTACTTATTTTTGAGAGAGAGAGAGAGAGAGAGAAAGAGAGAATCCCAAGTGACAACACGGAGCCTGATTTGGGGCTCAAACTCACAAACTGTGAGATCATGGCCTGAGCCGAAATCGAGAGCTGGATGCTTAACTGACTGAGCCACCCATGCACCCTTGTAGGTTTTTAAGAGATCTTTTTTTTACCAAACAAAATTAAGACTTAAAATAGTTAAAGAATTATGCATCTCTAAAGGCAAATTGGTAGAATTTTTTTTTTTAGTGTATTTGAGGTTTACCTCCAACAGCAATTAAAATTTTGTTAAGTGTGAGCTTGTAGCAATCTCCTTTTATTTGTTTGACTCCCTAAAATTTTATGGTTAAGAAAATTACTTCTTGGGTAAGGTGAAAATGAACTGGTAAAAAAAATGAAGTATACTGGTTTTTAAAATTTTGATTTCTCCAGTTTCCCCAGAAGAGGGCGCTTGGTGTTCACAGTTTAAAATTTCAGAGTTTTGTTTTTCTTTAATTGTAGATTGGGAGTCCTCCTCTTGATCCTACTGAGCATTTTCTTCCTGAAGAAGAGAAACTTGCTGAACAAGAGAGATCAAAAAGGTGAGTAGATACAGAAATTAGCCCTCACAGGTAATTCTACATAGTATAGATAAGGTGATTATTTCAAAAAGCACAGTATTTTCTTTTGAGACCCTCTGAAGGTAATAGAATGTGGTTTCTGAGATGGATTTAAAAATCTCCATTTACTACTTACTAGATATGTGATCCTGTTCAAATCGGAGGCTCTGTTTTCCTTATCTGTCAAATAGATACAATAGCCATACCCAACTCAAAGGGTTGATAAGAAGATCAAGGTAAATATATATGAAAGTTCCTTATAAAATGTAAACCATTATGCAAATATTCACTTTTTCTTCATAGATTTGAGAAGGTGTATACTCATAACCTCTATTACTTGGCTCAAGTCTACCAGCATATGGAAATGTTTGAGAAGGCTGCTCATTATTGTCACAGTACCCTAAAACGCCAACTTGAACACAATGCCTACCATCCTATAGAGTGGGCTATTAATGCTGCTACCTTGTCACAATTTTACATCAATAAGGTAAGCTTCTCAAATAGTTATCTAACAAAGTTATTGATAGTGTGTATAAAAATACTACGAGAGAGAGAGAGAGAGAGAGAGAGAGAGAGTAGTACCTTGAAAATGTCATCTTTTAAAAACAGGTAGCTTTTATTTTATGGTATAAACTGGACAGAAAAAGGCAGCCCAGTTTGCCAGTATAGTAAACTTCTGTAGCTTTCTATTGCATTAATCCTTTTGAATTGTAAAATACTGAGTTTTATCATTGTCTTACATGCTGCTAGCCCTAAAAATTACATGTTACCTAAGACCAATTCTTTTTTGATCTAGCACACTATCAGTTCATTCTAGTGAGATGTTACCTTAAATTGCAGATTTTATCTGATAGATAAAACTTTATTTTTATGCAGCGGTAATCTGGTAACTATGAGGATTTGTCTGAGGAAGTTGACTGTTAAATGTGGGCTTCGATAAAAGCATGTGATGCATTTCAGTTATTCTTTAGAATTAACTCCTCTGTAGTAATTTTTCCATGTTGGAAATATCTCTACTCAGTTCCAGAGTTGTAGCTCTTTATGATACACTTCTTCTGGAGTATCCCACAGGAACAAACTTGAGCTTCATGGTTGTTTATCAGAATTATTCAGAATCATGTTGGTATACTTTTAATTGGTCTGTTTATTCCTTTAGTCCCTAAGAGTTTTAATGCTAAAACACTTTTAAGCCACCTTTCCCAGCCGGATTTTCTGTTAATCCTCAGTAATATATTCAGCAATAGAAATTACTTTTATTTGTATTTCTAATTCACTCTGAACTTTTGGTAAATCTTTGCTTATCAGAGTTCCTTCTTAAATCTCTCTGGTTACCTGCTGCCGTATCCTTACTGGGCCTTTATCCTTTCTAAGCTTTTTGTTAGTGCTGGTTCTGTAAATGCGCCCTATGTTTAAAGTATTGTCCCACAGAATTTCATTCAGAAAAGCTATTAGCAGGCGAGAAAGGGCTATGGTGACTGCAGCATCGCTTCTAGGACTTTGGTCTAAGATCAAGCGTGTAAGTAACGCTATTGCATATATTGGAGCATTCGGTTAAATCTAACTCTCATGAATCCATTTCATTGTGGTCATCATCAAAAGTGTTACCTGGTGCCTCTGCTTGTGGCACCTTTTTTAATAGCTTCCAGAGGCCCCTTCTTTGTTTTGTTTAGCAACTTTAAAGCTACATACTCACTGTGATTTTAATTAAGAAAACTCCATCAATATTAATAGTACTAAGATACCTAGATATTAATTTAAAGTGTAATAAAAAATTTAAAGTTGTTAAGCATTGCTTATGTGGAGCATGCAGTAATTTTCATGAGTACCTCCCCCACCCTGTGCTTTTTTTTTTAAGCCAAAATGTTTTATAAGTTTTTGTTACAACTAGCTGATTTATATTGCAGAGATTTGAACCATTTTTACCAAAAAAAATGCAGTTGTCATTTATATCATTCTCATCTTCATCTGGTTCCAGTGATGAGGTTTTGCTACTTGATGTGTCCATACCTGGCAGGTGCTAAAGTCCCACATTTACCAGCCACCTAGAGGGCACAAAGCACTCGCTGTTCTAGCAGTGGTTGCTTGCAGGAAGGCAATCTGGACAAAGCTGAAGTGATGGGTAAAGGATTGCAGAGGGACAGTTAAAGCTTCTTTATGTAAACTGTAACTTTCTTTGGGTTTTCAAGGTTTAACACCTTCATTTTGGTCTATAGATGTTGCTGGGCTAATACTGTACGTGGTACCCAGCTATTCGCAAGGTGGCTTCTGATTTGCTATAATAGAGAGATGCCTTTTGTGCTGAGATTTTAAAGTCCTAGCCAACCATTAAAAATCTTCTTAGCAAAATCAGGTATTATTAATATGAACTAGACATTTAATTAATGAGGGTGGCTTCCAACTAAAAGTTGGACTTTAACTTTGTATTTCTGCTGGGTTGGTCCTGTGACTTACATGATAAATGCAAAGTGTTTATATTAACAAGGAGATCTTCTCTAAGTGTTTGAGAACTTTACCATGCCCAGATTTGAATTAGGAAGTCTTCAAGTGTGTTGGTAAAGCAGTTCTATAAAGTTCATCTGTGGAAATCTGTTAACTTCAAAACTTGGTGGGAACCCTCATTCATCACATGTAAATTCCAAAAATTCTAGAAGACAGGAATCTCTTCCTATCAAACTTACCCTTTTTGCCTTTGAATGGCGGGATGTATGAAGATATCTCTAAGAAAATTAAATCTTCAAGTCCTCTGACAGGGTGTAAATGGTCTACAGTTTATCATGCATGGCATTTTGGCTATGTGGACTGAACCTGAAGGACTGTCTGGAACATTCTAAGTCTAGGATTGTAGCCGCTCCTGTGTTGTACCTACTGGTAACCTGAAAGAGCTAACTTTCCATCAGCAGTTGTTTTGCAGCCAGTTTGGATTATTATTAAGAGTTTGGGGGCATTGTTACTTGAATCTTTTAGGTAGCTTTTTAACCAGAGAAAACATGTCATCTACTGTCTTAATGTTCAGCAACCACACAGGGTCTCCTTAGTGGTTTTTACCTGTTTTTATAGCTTTTCCCATACTAGACGACTTTATAGAAGTATTAATTGCAGATACAGCTGTGTGATAATTGCATTTACTCTTGTTTATTTCCTCAACAGCTATGTTTTATGGAAGCCAGGCACTGTTTGTCTGCTGCTAATGTTATTTTTGGTCAAACTGGAAAGATCTCAACAGAAGACAGTAAGTTCATAATGTGCATGTTTTATTATACAACTTTTAAAAAACAGTTTGAAATCATTTTAAATTTTAGAAAATTCAAGAACAGAACAAAGAACTGTCATATACCCTTCTAAATTCACCAATTCTTAGGGGCACCTGGGTGGCTCAGTCGATTAAGTGTCCGACTTCGGCTCAGGTTGTGATCTCGTGGTCTATGAGTTTGAGCCCCGCGTCGGGCTCTGTGCTGACAGCTCAGAGCCTGGAGCCCATTTTGGATTCTGTGTCTCCCTCTCTCTCTGCCCCTCACCCGCTCGTGGTCTGTCTCTCTTGCTCTCAAAAATAAATAGAACATAAAAAATTTTTTAATTCACCAGTTTTTAATAGTTGCCTCATTTGCAATCACATTTTATTTTTCATTCAGAACCATTTGAGAGAAGATTGCAAATATTAGGCTCCTTTACTCCTTTAATATTTTAGTGTATATTTCCTAGGAATATTTTCCTACATAATCATAGAACAGGAAATGTAACATTGATACAGTTCTTTTCTCTATAATGCATATTTCTATTTTATTAACTATCCCTGTCATGACTTTCACAGTAATTTTTCTAGTATTAGAGCATCCAGTTCATGATTTCATATTGCATTTAATTGTCACATCTCTTTATTGTCCTTTAAAAAAAATTTTTTTTTAATTTTATTTATTTTGAGGGGCACCTGGGTGGCTCAGTTGGTTAAGCGTCCAACTTCAGGTCAGGTCATGATCTCACAGCTTATGAGTTTGAGCCCTGCATTGGGCTCTGTGCTGACAGCTCACAGCCTTCAGCCTGCTTTAGATTCTGTGTCTCCCTCTCTGCTCCTCCCCTGCTTGCACTCTCTCTCTCTCAAAAATAAATAATAAACATTAAAAAAATTTAATAATAAATTTTATTTATTTTGATAGAGTGTGCATGCATGCACATGCATGTGAGGGAGGAACAGAGAGAGAGGAGAGAGAAAATCCCTAGCAGTCTTCGTGCTATCAGTGCAGAGCCCGACACTGGGCTCAGTTTCACAAACCGTGACATCATGACCTGAGCTGAAATCAAGAGTTAGCCACTTAATCCACTGAGCCTCCCAGGCGCCCCTCTTTACTGTCCTTTAATCTGGAACAGTTCCTCAGCCTTTCTTTCTCTTTCATCACACAGATATTTTTGAAAAATATAAGCCAGTTATTGCACTGGATTTCCATCAGTTGGTGTTTGATGTTTCCTTAGGCTAAGAATCAGAGTACAGGGTCAACTGAATGGCACAATCGGTTAAGTGTCCGACCTCGGCTCAGGTCATGATCTCACAGTTCATGAGTTCGAACCCCACCATCAGGCTCTCTGCTGTCAGCGCCAAGTCTGCATCGGATCCTCTGTCTTCCTCTCTCTCTGCTCCTTTCCCACTCGTGCGTGTGTGCGTGCGTGCTCTCTCTCTTGAAAATGAACATTAAAAAAAAGAATCAGATTATACATTTTTGGTTGGAATACTACATAAGTGATCTATCCAGATGTCTAGTTTTTTAAAATTTTTTTTTTTTCAACGTTTATTTATTTTTGGGACAGAGAGAGACAGAGCATGAACGGGGGAGGGTCAGAGAGAGAGGGAGACACAGAATCGGAAACAGGCTCCAGGCTCCGAGCCATCAGCCCAGAGCCCGACGCGGGGCTCGAACTCACGGACCGCGAGATCGTGACCTGGCTGAAGTCGGACGCTTAACCGACTGCGCCACCCAGGCGCCCCAGATGTCTAGTTTTTTAAGTATAGTGTTTTATTTAGTCTTAAAAATCACAGTTAACATGTGTATTTGAGCACATCAAAACCACAGTGTGATACTATCTCATAATTGGGAGAATGGCTTTTACGAAAAAGACAAGAAATAACAGGTGTTGGCAAGGATATGGATAAAAGGGAACCCTGTGCACTGTTGATGGGAATGTAAATTGGTGTAGCCACTGTGGAAAACAGTATGGCGGTTCCTCAAAAAATTAAAAATAGAAATAACATATAGTTCAGTAATTCCACTTCTGGGTATTTACCCAAAGAAAAAGAAAACACTAATTTGAAAAGATATATGCACCTCCATGTTTATTGCAGTATTATTTACAATCACCAAGACATGAAAACAACTTAAATGTCCATCAATGGATGAGTGGATAAAGAAAATGTGGTGTAGCAATCCCTATCAAAATAACACCAGCATTCTTCACAGAGCTATAACAAACAATCCTAAAATTTATGTGGAACCAGAAAAGACCCAAATAACCAAAGCGATCCTGAAAAAGAAAACCAAAGCTGGAGGCATCATAGTTCTGGACCTCAAGCTGTAGTACAGACCTGTAATCATCAAGACACTATGGTAGGCACAGAAACAGACACTCAGATCAATGGAACAGTATAGAGAACCCAGGGGCACCTGGGTGACTCAGTCGGTTAAGCGTCCAACTTTGGCTCAGGTTGTGATCTCATGGTTTGTGGGTTCGAGCCCTGCGTTGGGCTCTGTGCTAACAGCTCGGAGCCTGGAGCCTGCTTCAGATTCTGTGTCTCCCTTTCTCTCTGCCCCTTCCCCGCTCACACTCTGTCTCTCTCTCTCTCTCTCAAAAATAAACATTAAAAAAAATTTTTTTAAGAATAGAGAACCCAGAAATGGACCCACAAACATATTTGACAAAGCTGGAAAGAATATCCACTGGAAAAAAGACAGTCTCTTCAGCAAATGGTGTTGGGAAAACTGGACAGAGACATGCAGAAGAATGAACCTGGACGACTTTCTTACACCATACCCAAAAATAAACTCAAAATGGACAAAGACCTGAACGTAAGACAAGAAGCTGTCAACATCCTAGAGGAGAAAACAGGCAAAAACCTCTTTGACCTTGGCTGCAGCAACTTCTTAGTTGACATGTCTCCAGAACCAAGGGAAACAAAAGCAAAAATAAACTGTTGGGACCTCAGCAAGATAAAAAGCTTCTGCACAGTGAAGGAAACAATCAGTAAAACTAAAAGGCAGCCAAAGGAATGGGAGATTGTTGCAAATGACATATCAGATAAAGGGTTAGTATCTAAAATCTATAAAGAACTTACCAAATGCAACAGCCAAAAAACAAATAATCCAGTGAAGAAATGGGCAGGAGCTCCTGGGTACCTCAGTCAGTTAAGCATTTGATTTCAGCTCAGGTCGTGATTTCATAGTTCGTGAGTTCAAGCCCCACATCGGGCTCTGTGCTGACAGTCTAGAGCATGGAGCCTTCTTCAGATTCTGTGTCTCCCTCCTTCTGCCCCTCCCCTGCTCACTTTCTGTCTCAAAAATAAATAAACATTAAAAAA